ATGTCGTATGCTAGCAGTAAAGGTCAGAACTGGTGAGACTAAAGAATGTAGCTTAAATCCCCGCTCACGGTGACTTTTTACTTCACAAGGCAACACAAAACTTCAAATATCACTCACAAGTCTTGGCTCAACTGGTGGTATGGTTTTCAGGCACTTTCTTCCTCAGACTGGTAACATAAACAAGTCACCTTCCCAACAAGAAATCGACCATAGTGAAATTTAATACCCAAGGGTCAAACAAAAAAAGAAACCGTTAGATATATATATATATATATATATATATATATATATATATATATATATATATATATATATATATATATATATATATATATATATATTTGTGGGTCTGATGAATTGAATCGGATCCAGTGTAACCAATTAAAACCATGGAATATTAGTGTTTGAGCCTTTTACATTATATTCTTGGTCTGTTCTGAACATTCCTGGATTCTATCCTCTTGAAATTTATATACATATATATATATATTAAGAAATAGACAAAGTCCGACAATTTATTTATTAAAGACATTTTTATGTTTAACGTTCTTTTTATAGATACAAGTATTTAAGTAAATGTTCTGTTTATAATAAACAATATTAATAACATTTACCGGCCTGAATGTCTATGAAAATTTCTCGACATTCAGGCCGGTAAATGTTATTTAATACTGTTTATTATAAACAGAGCATTTACTTAAATACTTGTATCTATAAAAAAGAACGTTAAACATAAAAATGTCTTTAATATATATATATATATATATATATATATATATATATATATATATTGACCACTAATATTATCTATCTATCTATATATATATATATATATATATATATACAAGTATAGGATTGGTGTAGATGCAATAATCAAAAACACTATTCTTGAAAGAGTGCTCAATATAGAGTAGAGCAAATATTATTTATTCAAAAATTATAACATATACACAGATATTATTTATTCAAAAATGATAAATAATCAAAATTAACTCTAATATTTGTATTATAATTTATAATATTTATATTTATATATAATACATTAGCTATAATATTTATATGATATCGATATAATTCAAAATAACTGATGAAATGCAGCGTGTCCTTATAGGAAGTCTCATTAACTACATTTGTTTTAACTCCACAGATTAAACATGGTTTTGTCGAGAGAAGAAAGAATTGGACTCTTTTTCTATAGTATCCTAAAGAAGGTATACTCCATAAAAATCAAAGATGAAAAACCCTTGACTGTATGCAAATACAATCAATGTTCAGTCATTGCATCGAGTTGATGTGAATCTTGCAAAGCGCATCCATCTTTGTATCAGAAATGATGGAAATCATATTGAAGATGTTATTTGTTAATAGTCCAATTCAATTAAATGCTGAAAATTTTATTTCTTGAAAATATGCATTTTTAACTTATGTGTCCAAACTTTAGGGGTACCCTGTATATTTCGTAAATATGGATGAACACGTTTTTCTTAGAAAAAAATATTTCTTTATGCAAGACGATGCTAAATAATGGAAGAAAACTGATGAGTATTTCAATAAATCTGCTTCAAAAATACTGTATTTATGAAGTAGCCGATTAAAAACATATGGTACCTTCCGAACAATTGGCAGACAGAAAGCTTCTATCAAAAATGAAATTTCGATTGCTATTTTGATGTGGTGCCGTCTGTTTTATATGAAGAAATCGAACAGTTCACAAAATCAATGGGTGAACGACTAAAATTCGTTTCAGAATATGGAGCATACATTTCACATTGATGTTGTTTTTGATAGCTTTGTCGATACTTTCGATGTTTTGTTCACCTCCAAATGCATGACCAGCCCTAAATATTCCTGTCTGCTTTAATCAATCATTTTCATAAATCCAATTTTTCTTCTATATACCTTGTCCGTTTAGAGCGTTGGCGATCATGGCTCTCCACAATTCCCTGTTCTTTTGTAGCACTTAATAAATTTTTATCTTTTTTATCTTGTTCTGCCATCCATTTCCTCAAGCTCGTTAGGTAGATTATATGTCGTTTTCCCCCATTCTTCTTGCCTTCATTCTGCCCGGTGAGTATCAAATCTTCCAAGCCCTCTTTTCTCGTTATGTGTCTTAGACATTTTAACTCTCTCTTTTTCTGATGTTACTTATGAGCGTCATTTTTGTTTCAATTTTCTCTAAAATTTCGTCGTTACTCGCATGATCGCTCCATAATAGTCTCACTATCCTTCTGTAGAACAACATTTTTGTTATTACGAATCTCATCCTCATCTGTGATATTTGTTTCAAATTCAATAGCAAATAAGAAGGTTGATATAACATAACAGTTCTTTTCTTTGTTTCTAGATTTCAGTGACACACTTTCATTTCTCTGTTAAAAATACTTTCGGGATATTTAAATTGTTGTACTTGCTTGATTTTGGTATCTCCAATTTGTAAGCTGGATATGGGCCTGTGTCTTTTTGCTAATATCTATGCAATCTCTCTTCTTGCAATTGATGTTTAGTCCTTCCTTCTCGCTTTCCTTCACTATCTTCTGTTGGAGTTCTTGTTTGCTTTCTCTGACTGTTATCAACACTATGGCATTTGCCTATCTTAGGTTCTTAAAAATGTGACTGTCAATAATGAATCATGGTAGGACTTCTACTTCTCTCAGAATCACTTCACTGGAAACATTGGATAAATCTGGTAAGAAGACATCCTTGTCTAATATCAGAAACAATTTTGTTTTAAAACAGTAAAGGTGTTCAGTTGTTGAAAGTTTTGGTCACGCAGAAACTTCGAAATCTACCCGATCATCATTATCATCATCAGCATCACTACAATCGCCATGACTGATTCATGATATTGATGATGATGTCTCGGTTGCATACAAGTGTCTGAATCTCTGTGAAAATTGACCTTCCATGTGACATGGTCGGAGCATTTCCTGTCGACCTTTTCGTCTTTTGGAACCTTGTAGGGTGGCAGGTTATTGGCTCTTATGACGTGTTCATACTAAGAAAACGCGGGTAAGGGGCTAAATAATATATCTTTTATTACACGGGAAACGTAGAGGTCATATTCTGGCCAGGTAGGGTTATATTCTTTGCTCATTTTATAGCTGGTGGTATAAATTTGCTTAGCATAAGTGATACTTCGAATATAAAGCAGGTTATCCTAGAATAACTCAACTTGTACTCTGGACTGGGGTGTACTTTTGATTACACGAGTTATGTCTTGAAATAAGGGAACCTCATTCTTTGACCGATGTCTGAACTTATCTTCATTTCATGTCCGATAAAATGAAAACGCTCAACCACAATGGAAGATGGCCATGTTTTTTTATTCTATCTTAAGACGGAGTGCGCCGATAGCGTAACCGCCATCATCAGTCTGATGACCAGTCGTGATCGAGGGTTACTGCGCTGATTAATGTCTGATAAACTCACGTCATATAACTCGGCTGCGTGCCAACATCCGAGTCTGAGAATTATCTTCCAGTCTACCCGGCGACGCTGCCAGACCATTTTACCCTCTCTGCCTCTTCTTTTGCCTAAGGTGATACCCTATATGAAGACAGTATAAAAGAATGTTAACTTTTATGGCGGTTTTTTTCTTCTTGATGGTAGATATGAGGTTTTCTGATGGATTTGTCTTTTGTCGCATGGTGTATCTTACTGATTTTGTTTTAGTTTTTTTTTGTTTTTTTGGAACGTGGTCTACGTAAGAGATGCCAAGGATGGTTCTGTAGATCTGATTTCTAATGATTGGATTCTTCGCAGTAATTCTTCTGTTAATGTTCAAGATTCCTAAACGTAGACACAGAAGTCAACAGTTTGATCTTTGATTTCATATGGTCTTGACTTTTCAAATGGTTCTTAGTTTTGCAACAGCTGCCATTGTTTGTGATACCCTTCAAATTATTTCTATTCTGGAGCCCTCTTCAAAGATAATCGAGCTAAGATGTTTGAAATGACCCCCTACATTAAGTTTCTGGCCACAGGCTTTCACCTTGGATGATAGAAATTTCTCATTGTTCATCATGAGTTTGGCATCTTCGGAATCTATATCTATACTATATCTGGAGGATATGTCATCTAGGTCTTTGACCAGACTGACAAGTTCCTCTTCCTTGCCATCTATTCTCAGTTCTCTATTCAACTTTTACTCTATTTTCAAAGTTACAATCCCATTACATTATATTTTTTCATGTTTGTATCTTTATCATGATCCACGACCTAAGATGGTAGTGAAATGATAGTTGGTTCCTATGACATGTTCATACCATTTCAACTTTATCGTCTTGGGAGTGGTTATGAGATTTTCCAATGGGTTAGTTTCTTGTCTGATGGTGGCTTGTAATGTCATTTGTGATGCAGTCTAATGCTTCTGTAGCTTCTCGTTTCTAATTGGATTCTTTGCTGTAATTCTCCTTTTAATGTTCAAGATTCGCAAATGCTCTCATGTATAAAACACATATAAAAAGAAAGGTTACTCTAATAATAATTGAAGCAACCAAGATTTTTTCTCATTTTTTAAAAATTTCTCATCAACGTAATCAGTAAAAAATATAATGCTTCCTATTTAGATAAACAGCGACATCTGAAGTTTGGAATTAAAAATAATTCATTTTGACTACAATTTATTGGGTGTCATTGAAAAAACGAAACGAAATTTCTATTGAAACGTTGCTTCTGAGTAAAATAAACAGCGACATCTGAAGTTTGGAATTAAAAAGTATTTCATTTTGTCTACATTTTATTGGGCGTCATTGAAAAAAACGAAACGAAATTTTTATTGAAACGTTGCTTCCTAGTTAGATTAAGAGCGACATCTAAAGTTTGGGATTAAAAATATTTCATTTTGACTACACTTTATTAGGCGTCATTGAAATAAAAATTTCAATGACGCCTAAGCGTTAGCAAATTTCAATGACGTTTAAGTGTTATCAAACTTTAAAATGTGCATACGGCATGGACACTATTTTAGATTATATGGGGAAGAACTGAACTCATATGACGGTATAGGTTGTCTGTCATTGGCGAGTGGGGCCTGAGATACGGTTGCAACGGACGTCTACGGTGAGTCTGTTGCGTGCGTAAATGCCATTGGTGGTTGGCCTTGGCTGTCGGCGCGAGTCGATGGCGCGCTGACAGGTCGGCTAATGTCTAAAAAGGAGATGGAAGGAAAATTGGTGGAATGTTTGACGGATATCATCGCCAGAGTTGCGACTAGGTTGAATGTGCTAGATTGCTGGTTTATCGTTCTGATGATTCATGGTCGGAATATGCTTACAAGCAGATGCGTTGGCGAAATAGCACAACGTTATGGAAGAATGACAAGTGTGTATTCATGAAGTTACTGGTGGTGTCAAATCAGTAGATGGGTTACAGTATAGCAGTTGAACTATACAATGCCGGAAAATAAAATTGAGTAGATGTTTCAATTTACTTATTAAACGCACAGGTATTATAGCTAGTTTACTGTATCAAGAAGAGACAGTTGGAATTTCTCGGACACATAATCTGGAAAGCAGGCACGAAAAATCTGATACTCACAGGACAGACTGAAGGCGAGAGGGACAGGGGAAAACAACGCATAACATACTTAGCGAGCTTGAGTAAATGGATGACGGTATTCCGCAACTCTGGCGATGATATCCGTCTAAGTATGGTTTAGGGGGAATAACTCAAGCTCGCTAAGTATGGTTTAGGGGAATAACACAAACACAAAATTTATTAAGAGCTACAAAGGAAAGGAAGTTGGGGAGAGCCATGATCTCCAACGTCCTGAATGAACGCAGCAAGTGCAGAAGAACTGTAAATGATCAGAAATGCAAACCTTTTTTGTTCTATGTGCTGCGTTCCCTTTAGGACATAGGTGATCATGGCTCTCCACAACTTTCTCCTAGCTCTTACCAGTTTTTCTACCTTCGCTAAGGTTCACGCCTCCCGTTCACACAATGTTTTATACCGTAACTATGAAGACTAATAGGTATGTCCTTATCCTCATAAATACGTTGGATATTATTGTAATTCGGGATAATATGCTAAGTAGTGCACCACTAGCAGTGGTTTACCTACTTCACGTCGCTGGCGAGTATTGTATTTTATTGATGTTATAAAGATTACCATTTTATTTCTAACCTCCGTTTTGGTTATTCCTCATTCACTAACACTTTCTAGGTTACAACATACAAGCTCGTTGCCTTCACCTATCTCTCTTGCTCTCAGTATGTCATGTAAGGATTATGTTTTCCAAGACCTCCTTCCACATTATCTGTTCAAGTAATTTCAGCTGTGTTTTCCTGGTTTTAAGTATAAGTGTCCATTCTGATGCAATTTTCTTTAAGACCTCCTTGCTGCATACACGCTCTGTCCATGGAATTTTTAGTAACCTTCTGAAGAAACATATTTCAGCTGCCTCCAGTTTTCTTCTCATCCGTGGGGAGATTGTCCAACATTCACTGCCATATAAGACGATGAAAATCACATAGCAATCCAGAACTCTTTTCTAGCATTTTTTCGTTTCTCAACACCTTGCTTAGCTTTTGGAATGGTTCTTTCTCTAGTCAAAAGTGCGTTCGGGTCTCGATGTCGCGTATTCCGTCTCCAGTGTCCATTTTCCAGATATTTAAATTTCTGCACCTGCTTGATGTTTTCTTTTTATCTCCAGTGCCAGGTTTCCTAAATTACAGGTGTATAAACGGTACATATACCCAATTATTAATACACTGTGTATCCTCTTTAGACGTAAAAAAGCATGTCATCTTACATATGTCAAATTATACCCTGCATTACACTATTCCATTTTTCTTGCATCAAATGACGAAAGTTAACGGAAACACCTCTGCAAGTTCCGAGTTTCTTTTACGTTCTGCAACCTCGGCAGTTATTAAACATTTTTCTTTGTCATATCAACATTAAATGGTAAATTATAACATTAACCGTTTCCTCATAAGGAAACATTCGGCGTTCATTTACAGAACAGCCAATACTACAGTCGGTTGAAATTTATAAAATATTTCTGTTGTAAGAGTTTTTTTTTTTTCGGGAAATAGGTTTCCTCAAGGTCTGTAATTATCATTGTCTTTTCCAATACTGTTGTGGGCTTCCGGTCTAAACTTTTCTTCGATGTAGTGGCAAACGTCAACAACTTGATTATCTCAACATTTTCTCTTGGAGATACATGCGCTCTCCATTATAGTTGCTGAAAGTCCGCAAGTGATATGGTTTTTATTATTTGTTCATTTTTCTTGTTATTCTGGATGCCAGCCCACGATATCTGAAGAATGAAGGTCCTCACTAAGACCTACAGGCTTCATTTTCTCGAAGCCATTTTAACCATTGATCTGAATAAGCAGTTCTATACAGCAGAGAGTTTATTTCTGAATGAGAAACTATATATTAATAGGTTTATAAAAAAAATAAAAATGTACTTAATCAAAGAAATGAAATAGCTATTTTTTGCCGACATTGTCAAAAATTTTCTTTAAGTAATGTTAAAAAAATAAAAAAATAAAATAAAAACTGATAAATCAAATGCACATATTTATATTTGATATTTAAATAATAATTTTTAAATAATGTAAGTAATTCTATTACATTTATTTGTTTTAAAAGATGTATAGTCTATTAGTAATTAAAATTAAGAATAATATTTTAAAATTGTAGTTCAATACGACGTATTCATATACAAACAACCCTTTTAGAAAAAAACCTTTATGTATACAAGTACAAATTTAACGGCGAAACAAAAGTGCCGAAAAACTTTTTGTTGTTGAAAATGACCAGACGACAGATGTCACCATTCGTTTAAAAAAGCACCCCTGCCCCACCTTAGCTTAACCTCTTTTCGAAAGTAACTCATATTTTGATACAATTAGTTGTCAGTGAAAATGAATACCCTACCGCCCCTTGTTAAAATGATTGGATTTCCCCATATCCATAGAAACTAATGTTATGAATATATGTGCTTATAAAACTCAATAAATATTAAAATAAGTTATCCCAAAATTTGCTTGAAAATGAAACAGAACTAAGGACTTTAATTTAATTCTAATTGAATTTGAAGTTTTTAGTTTCTGTTTTTAAAACATGGTAATTCCTGTGTAGTGATATAACCATATTTTTAAATAAGTAAATTTGTAATATTTATTCTCTGTAGATTTGCATTGAGCACTGTTTTGTAAGAATAAAAATATTAATAAGAACGCCGGATTATATATCTTACTTTTCTTTCTCTTTATTATATGTGTGTGTGTGTGTGTGTGTGTGTGTGTGTGTGTATTATTATATGTGTGTGTGTGTGTGTGTGTGTGTGTGTATGTGTATTAATGTATATTTGGGCAGAGATCTTGCAATAATCTTTCATTAAATATGGCAGACAAGGAAGATTTAATTCATTTTTGACTAAGTTTTTAAAGCGTCCTTCGTTTTTCCGTTTTGTAGGAGTACGGTAGTACAAATATTCACTGTAATTTTCATTATCCTAAATGCTTTCGGCCACTTCCATAGCCATTTTCAAGGATGTTTTTTTTCTCTGGTTTTATTAGTTTTTCCTCATGTTTTGACTGTTACGTTGCAATTTACCTTTGTGTTGTTTTGAACTGGAGCGTTCATTTTGAGCCTGCACGTGTTGCGCGCGGCTAGAATTAACATGAGCATCATTCTATTTTTTTTTTTTTTAACTTTTAACACTCTATTTCCACAGTTAAATAATTTGAGGTTGAGAGTAGGAGATAACTGTTTGATATACAAGGCCTCTCTAATAGCAAGATGTTTTTGATAATAGGATTTATATAGAATTTTAGTATTTTCGACCAGAATAGTTGATAGATGTTTTATATAGCATTTTGATCTAATAAGTGATACGTGAGATGTCTACCCAAGGAGTTTTGCCTTCAACCGGGAAGGTAAAGCCTCTCTTAAAATGGAAATCCGCTAACCTTAATCTCACTAATCAAAATAACCCCATCAAATCTAGACTAGAGTTCCTGATCAACAGTTGTATAATACCGGGGTGTTTGTAGTGCCATGTCGCGCATGAAAAGGTGTCCCTGCAGTCACCTCCGGTGGGCAACCCTGAGGCCACATTATGATGCAGGTGTGCCAACTCTGTCCACGTCACGGTCGTCACTGTCTGCATCTTTTACTTCGGGCCTTCTCATCTTCCAACGAAAATTCAACATGACTTCCAAAGACCGAAAAAGTAACCCTAAACCAGCCACTCATAAATCACCTAAACCCCTCAACATTTCGTTTTCCAACATCCGTGGCATTAGAACAAACTTCTGCAGTATGGAATCTTTCCTCACTGCAAATTGCCTGGATATACTGGCTCTCTGTGAGACTAACCTTGTCTCGTCTATCCCCTCCTCTGATCTCTCGATCCCAGGGTACCTTCCTCTCCTCAGAAAAGACTCTCTAACCTACATGCACGGCCTTGGTGTTTACATCAAGGACCATCTCCCTCTGGTCAGAGAGTTGTCTCTCGAATCGCCAGACCAGTCGTACATGTGTCTCCGGCTATCTCTTCTCAATGCGGTAAGCTGTCTCTTCTTCCTTTACCGCTCTCCATCCTCTCAAGACTGTGGGATACTCGATAGCATTTCTGACAGCATAGACAAGGCTCTCTCCCTCCACCCGTTTGCCCAGATATTTGTGTTTGGCGACTTTAACGCCCATCATAACATATGGCTTAAAAATGCTACTACTGACCACGCAGGCATACAAACGCTCAATTTTTCAGTCTCTCAATCCCTTACGCAGATAGTTAACTCCCCCAATCGTTTTGCCTTCAACCGGGAAGGTAAAGCCTCTCTTCTCGATCTGTGTTTTACCTCCATCCCCGAGTCCTGTAGCGCCACGCAACTCTGCCCTCTTGGTAACTCTGATCATGCGGTAGTATGTGTTAACATCTCCTTCAACTCCACCCCCTGCAAAGAACCTCCTACCACTAGAAATTCGTTCTACACGTCTCTTTGCCTCCGCCCGTAATGAGTGTAAACGTGTCCTCAACGATGCTAAGTCACTATTTGCTGCTCGGATGAAGGAGCGTATTGCATCTCGCAAATTTGGCTCCAAAGATTATTGGCGGCTCTGCAAGAGCGTATTGAACAGTTGCAAACCCTCTATACATCCATTGTTCAACCAGTTCGAAGTTCTGACCTCCTCTGCCGACAAGGCTGAATGCTTTGCACGGAAATTTTCATTCAACTCAACGCTTGACTCTTCCGGTGTACCCATACCCGACTTCCCTCTTAGAACTGAATCCCTATTGAGTGGGTTACACATAACCCCGTCATTGGTATTGGACGTTATCTCCAATTTAGACCCCAACAAGGCTAGTGGTGGTGATGGGATACCAGCCGTTGTCTTGAAGAAATGCGCGCCTGAACTGGCAGCCGCCCTTTCTAAACTATACAACTACTGCCTCAAGGAATCTTGTTTTCCTGACTGCTGGAAGTCCTCTTCGGTTGTTCCTGTCTTTAAGAACTCTGGCGACCCCTCTGATCCTTCTAACTACCGTCCTATCAGTCTCCTACCCCTCTTCTGCAAAGTCTTCGAAGCCCTAATCAATTCCGAGGTGGTTAATCACCTCACATCCCATGATCTGCTCTCAGACAAGCAATATGGCTTCCGCTTTGCCAGATCTACAGCTGATGTGCTTACGGCCATCACTGAAACTGTCTACCGAGCTCTTCAAAATAACGGGGAAGCTCGTGCCGTGGCCCTGGACATCTCCAAAGCATTTGATAGGGTTTGGCATGCCGGCCTTCTTCGCAAGCTCCAGGGTTATGGCATTACGGGTCGATTGTTTGACCTAATACGATCATTCCTGTCAAACCGTGAATTGAAGGTCGTTCTCAACAGATTCTCCTCCAGTTCCTATTCCACGAACGCAGGTGTTCCTCAAGGCTCTATCCTAGGCCCCACTCTATTCCTTATCTACATAAATTACCCGCCTGATGCCATAAATTCCTGTTGGCATCTACGCGGATGACACCACAATTTATTCCTGCCTCAAAAAAAATCTAGTGTCAGTGACAAAATAACCTGGCCAAAAAGGTCTCGAAAAGGACCTCCAATCGGTTGTGAACTGGGGCAGGAATTGGCTGGTCAACTTTAATGCTTCAAAAACAAAACTGCTCTCTATTAATCCCCACAGAGATTTTTCCCTGCCATCCATTAGAATGTCTGACGCTCAACTTCTCGAGAGCAACTCTCTGCGGCTGCTCGGTCTCACGTTGACTGCTGACCTGAGATGGAACGAATACATTGAGTCAATGGCTTCATCCACCGCAAGGAAAGTTGGCTCCGTGCGCCGCGCCAAGAAATTTTTCTCCCCGGAGTCGATCCTCCAGATCTACAAATCAACAATTCGCCCTTGCATGGAGTATTGCTGCCATATATGGTCTGGTGCCCCTTCTGTTTGCCTCGGGGTCCTTGATAGGCTCCAGAGGCGGATATGCAATGTAATTGGTCCTGATCTGGCATCTCGTCTACAGACACTTTCTCACAGACGCGCCGTCGCCTCTCTCTGTCTTTTTTACAAATACTTTCATGGCAATTCCTCCGAGGAGCTGCATTCGCTGGTTCCAAGACTTCATGAATTCAAACGCCCGACGAGGCTGGCATCCCTCTCTCATCCCTTCACTGTCGAAACTCCTAAATGTAGCCGTCTCTTCTACTCCAAAAGCTTCATGTCTCGCACCTCTCGCCTGTGGAACTCCCTTCCCTATTCCTGTTTCCCTGATAGCCATAATCTCCACATATTCAAATGTAATGTCAATCGACATTTCCAGTTGCCTTGATCTATCCACTATCCTTCTCCTCATCCTTTCTTCTATCACTCCTATCTGATCTTGCTCCAAATCTTCTGTAACCCCTTGCGTCCTAGTGGCTTCCCGCCTTGCTTGGGGTGAAACGCTTAAAAAAAATATATATTATAAATTTTATATGTTTTTCTAGAATTACTTCAGAAGTATGGAGTTTATAATTCTTCGTATAGCGAATTCGTCCTGCTTATAATTCTTGTGCATCTGGTTGGAGTAATATATATATATATATATATATATATATATATATATATATATATTATATATATATTTGAACAATGACTCGACAATTCAAACGTTATTTGTGTTGAATAGTATTGATGAAAGTATCTTAATACTAAATAAAGCATAAATCTATGGTTCTGTATTGGGTAACAGAATGACAAAATGGAAAAAAAATATGTAATGCGTTTCGTGCTTCAGAACGACTTTAATGATATTACCATATATTTATTGATACAATGCGATTAATGCATTGCTGTTCAAGTAGAAATTTAATTCTCCACTTAGTATAGCAAAAGCGTTAACATTTCCCTTCTTCTCTACCGTGAGACGTTCGCAAGGGATAGGATATCTGACTGATGTTTCGATCTCGGCTTGAAGCAATCGGACGTCTAGTCACACTGAAGAGCTGTGAAAACAGTCCGTCTGCGGATGACAGTATATATATATATATATATATATATATATATATATATATATAGACACATACACAAACATATATATATATATATATATATGTATATATATAGCAAAACATATATATATGCACATATATAGCATACTATATATATTGATAACATCATATATATATATATAAAATAATATATATATTGATAGCATCATATATATATATATATAAATATATATATATATAAACATATATATATACATATAAATAAATAAATATATATATATATATATATATATATATATATATATATACAAGGAAGAAGAGGAAATATAAATTAAATTGTCGGTTATAATTATGCAACCAACGGAAATATTTTTCTATAAATATAGATAAATTTGAAACAATCTATCTATCTATCTATCTATATCTATATATATATATTTTTGACCTGGCTTGAAGCATTCCGTTGTCTAGTCGCACTGATGAGCTGTGATACTGCGAAACAGGCCAGTATGCGAATGATATTATATATATATATATATATATATATATATATATATATATATATATATAGAGAGAGAGAGAGAGAGAAAGATAGATAGAGAGAGAGAAAGACAGATAGATTATATATATATATATATATATATATATAGGAAGGTAGAGTGAGAGGGGGGAGAAAGAAACAGACAGACAGACAGATAATGAGACAAAGAGAGAGAAAAATGTTGAGATATACAGACAGACAGAAAGAGATAATCAGCCTAATATACATAGACATAATATCCTCCTTACTCTCTTTCTTACTGTTTCTCTCTCATACTCACTAATTGTTCGTTATGTATAAAATGACTGAAACGAAGATAGTATAGCGTTATTTTTACCATATTATAATACTGCACTTGATTCTATAGCTTTTCAATTACTTATGGAAAAATAACCTAAGTAGAATTCAAAGAAACCTTAATGAATCTGAAACAGGCTTTTGCGGGTAACAAGATAATTTAATGACCAGAATATAGAGAGGTGCTCGTTCATTTCCGTTTTTTTTTTTTTTTATACTTCTATCTTTTAAGCAACCGTCACATTTAATGCAGCTGCATTAAGAACCTAACCACTGCGGCTTCAGTCAACCCCGTTTGCATCGACGTTAAACTAAGGGGGAAAAAAAAGTTAGAGTAGCTGAGTTAACACCGGAATTTCAAGTCGTTACGCGCGAGTTAAGGGGAAAAAAGGCTCTGAGAGACCAATATGGCAGCTGAGTGTCAAAGTCAATCGCTTGAAAGGTCCGGTTTATTGATTCTCTTGAAGTTAGCTTTTGATTTTGATGTGAGAAGATAACCAGTTGCAGAAACGTGGCATCCGCTCAAGCATATGCATTCCGGACCTTATGCACACAGGCAAGTACATAGACACTTCGAGAACACAACTAAGGAGGGTGCACTGAATAATACTATGATAGATAGATAGATAGATAGATAGATAGATAGATAGATAGATAGATAGATAAGGATAATTTGATATATAGATAGATAGATAGATAGATAGATAGATAGATAGATAGATAGATATCAATATACTTTGATAGATAGTAAACAAGAGAATTAGCTAGATAGATACATAGATAGGTAGATAGATAGATAAGGATAATTTGATATATATATATATATATATAAAGAGAGATAGATAGATAGATAGATAGATAGATAGATAGATAGATAGATAGATATCAATATACTTTGATAGATAGTAAACAAGAGAATTAGACAGATAGATAGATAGATAGATAGATAGATATATAGATAGATAGAAAATTTCATAGACAGATAGATAGACAGACAGAAATGAAATGAGATAGATATATAGCAGAAAGAAAAGAGAATAATATGATTGATATATATATATATATATATATATATATATATAGTAAAATATTAATCCGTAGATAGATATGAATGGGGTGATATAGAAAGAAAAGGGTATTTGATAGATATATAGATAGATAGATAGATACAAAACACAAGAATTTGATAGTGAACGAACTTATATACATATGAAAAAAGATAGATATGAACAAACTCAAATTTCATTTATCAATTTATGTAATTCGGCTAAATATACTGATAGATATAAAGGGTCAAATATATAAAATATAGGTAAGCGTACCGATATATCAATATTTATATCTACATACATATGGTACGTTGTAGGAGACTGACAAGAAAAACTAAACAAAATATTTAGTTTCTATTATGCTTTTCTTGTCTTCAGAAAGATGTCTCCTTTAAAATAAAAAAAAACAAACAAAAGTACCTTGTCCATTTTGTTTAACTGAACATGTATTAAAGTGTGATTACTACCCAAATACACAACACCTCAATCTCTCTCTCTCACTCTCTCTCTCTATCTATATCTATATCTATATCTATATATATATATATATATGTATATATATATATATATATATATATATAGAGAGAGAGAGAGAGAGAGAGCGAGGGGGAGAGAGAGATGGATATACGGTAATAAAATTACAACATACCTTACATATAGTGCAGGTGTAATGAAACAGAACAAATATATATATATATATATATATATATATATATATATATCTCACACCTCTAGCACCACTTTGAGTTTCATGAAAGACGGTATCATAGGGTGCAAAATTCTAACATTTTTTCACCCAATGTTTGCGTTGTTCATGGAACTCAGAGTCGGGCTAGACGTGTGAGATATTATATATATATATATATATATATATATATATATATATATATATATATATATATATATATATATATATATATCAAGATAAAAAAAAATAACTGTCAGATTTATAATCCAGAGTTCTTTAACGTTTATTTTTAAAACACTGCTCAATACACAGTAGAGCATATTATAATTATTATTCAAAAATATGTATTCATCGCGACACAAAAATTCCCATGTTTCGAAACGAAAACGTCAGTCTTAAATTAGACTTAAAATTTAACGTTTATGTTTTATTTTTCAATCGATGTTGAAAAACTTTCGAAAAAATCATTTTTTTTAAAGTTATTCAACATCGCTTGAAAAATGAAACATAAACGTTAAATTTTAAGTTTAATTTAAGATTTAGGTTTTCGTTTCGTTTCGTTTCGTTTCGTGTATATATATATATATATACATATAATGTATATTTATACATCAAGTATTTATTAAAAAAGCTTTATTAAATTTCATCGATGAGGTATGACTGTTTCATTGCAGTTAAATTTTTCCAATTTTTTAAGATGTCGTATATAGGGATCAAAAATTGTGAATAAACTCTCAAGAGTTATTTTGTTGATTATTTTCTTCAGTTACTTTCAGCCGTCGCTGTCGTTATGAAGACCTGAATATAAAATAATAGGTCATAGTATTTTGAGTCCAAAAAGCACTCACTCCAAGGACAGCTTGCAAAAATATTGAATATGAGTACAAATAATAACAATAATAATAATAACAATACATCTGAATATCTGATACATTCTTTTCTAGTACGATCTATCTCCATGTTATTGCTTTACCTATAACGTCATCTTTGATTAATTTCAATCCCAACTTTCCAAAAATTCCTTGATGTTGCCCAAAGAAGCATGTCTTCAATATTGACAATATCCAGCTTAATCGATAAAACCATTATTAGTCCGATGTTGTCTTTTCCTGGTTGATGTATTCATTCATTTATTCGTTCATTTTCTATCGCTTATCAACCATTTGCAAGAGATCTAAAGTCAGAAAATATTTTTTTAAAATGTAAGAACTGTAAGATTGTAATATAATAATAATGTTTCTTAGTGATACAAGTCTTACTAATTAAACCATAACTGCTGGGGAGAAGATATGGATTCCCAAGGATATTTGCACGTAAATGAATAGAACAGACCCAACTTTGACATTACATTTAAATCTTTGAAAATCATATTCGACAGGAAAGTAAAACGTACCACAAGCGAGAAAAGAAAATATCAGTATAGAAGTTAATATAATTAATATGCATACACCTGGGTTTCCCCTCACAGTAATATGATTGGCTGGTGTCAGCCATAAATACAGACTGATGCGGAGGTACAGGACGATGCCTATTGGCTACGCCTATAGTCTTCGCCTATTGCCTACCACTACGACGAGGACCAGTCCATTACGGTTACTGCTAGATTGTTCCACACGGTTACAGTAGTCAACAATCACTTTGCTACTTCAAACAAATATATCCCTTTCTGGGACATATCAGAAGTTGTAGAAATTTCAAAAGCAAAATAAGACCTAACTGCCAATCTAGTACTGTGCTTATATCCGTGCAGACGTGGTACCAAAGAGGAAAGCTTATCAGAACAATTAGCATGAAAGTATTTGTAGAAAAACATAAAGGGGGGCTACGTTACAGCAATAGGAAAATGACTAAAGCCGAAATGTCAGGTGATGACCGATCATATTGCAGATTCTTCTTGATTGATTGATTTGTGTTTTGTTCTTTTGCAGGTTATATAAGCCAGAGAGCATTTTTAGATTGTAAGAATTTGGGGGGGGGTAATAATGATTTACTGATACATGTCTTACTAATCAACCCATAGCTGGGAGGAGAAGAGGTGGAATCATACCTTTCCCAGGGGTATTTTCATGTAGGTAAATATAGCAAAACAAATGGGAAGCGGAACTTCGATTAACAATTCCGAGTCGTTATTCATTACGTCAGTCGCAAATCCAAGTTTACAGTACTTGGTACTCCAAAGCGGTCACTCATCTAGATACTGATCAGGCTCGACTTTGCTTAACGTCTGTGATTGTATGGGAAACGGTGTTTCAACGTGATGTGGGCGTAAACTTCTTTTCTTGAGATGAAATCCATAACATAAGAATTTTTTTTTAACGCTGTCATTCAATTAGAGCCAATGAAACATATATATCGATGCATATATATTCCATAAATTTTTAAATAAGGCAAAAAAAAAAACCTCTATTAAACTATCGCATTTATAAGTTATACGTTTAACTCAACAAAAAAAAAATAACAAACAGTTCATCCACCATTTTGGTATTATAACTAGAAGAACGCCTACATCTGTTTGGAGAAGACAGCTATGGATCGTTGAAAAGTTACAGTGGGGATGATTCTTTCAAATACGAAATTATGTGTCTTGTACGGTCAATTGAAATATATATTTCCAATTTGATTTGGGTTGGATGGTTTGGTTTGTTTTACGGCATATCAACCTCAATGGGTTATTTAATGCCGACAAGATTATTATGGCTGGCTTCTTTTTTTTTTTTCAAAAATATATGGCTGGTAATTTTTTTTTCCAAAAATGTATTGCTGGTAATAATTTTATTGCTGTTAATTTTTTCTAAAGTATTTCCTATTTAAAATCTATTTTTACACTTTCATCGTGGTTTGACCTCTGTTTGGGGGTTAACTATTTACCCATAGCTGGGACTCTAACTGGTGCTACCACCCCGGGTCATTGCGGACCTGGGAACACCAGCAATTAAGAAGTGGTTTCACGCTCCTCAAAACCTCCTGATCAGTGGCCTTGCTGTTGGACGTCGTTTATCGTCTTACCCAGGATGCGGATGTAGTTGGTGTTCCTGTTTGAAATTTCCGATGAATCTTAATTCTTCAGTTGATGATTGAATAAAGCGCATGCGGAATTCTACGACAATAAAATATCTGTAAATGTTCGAGATTAACAACTCTAGCAAAATATTGCAAGAACAATCATAAATATGAAGGCCGTTATTTTCAGAAGCAGGACGGTACAAATGAAGATTTGAAATTGAAACCTTTTTCCATCTCATTGAATCATCTTCTGTTCTTTTTTACACTGAATCATGTCTTTTCTCTTTTCCCGCTATCAAAACAGAATAGTCCATTATTTATTGGTAGGGCGTAACGGTCGTGCTAACTAACGAACAGTGGGGGGATCTATCACACTTATTATATGATTATTAATTTGTATTTTTTTCTTTTAAAATTGTTTCTTTTTATCACAACAATTGCGTTTGGGTGTATTTTATCGAAACAATAAAATCGTTTTTTTTTTTTTTTAATTCTATGGCTTGTCTTAAATCAATATAGTTCATTAATAATAAACCTTTTTGAAGATCGCATTGAGATTTGAACCTGCATTCGTGAATTCCTATCTGACCTAGACAGCGCCTCTAGCGATTAGACCACGAAAACTTTACAACGGAAGCAAATGTAATTTATTTATATAGCTATATTCTTTATTACCTGGTTTTTAATTTGATGCTAAAAATGTTTGCTTCTACTCGTTTTAATGTAGCCGAATTACTTTGATAATATTTATTTAATTATTGGTTTCTTTCATAAAAGTTTCAGAACAATATATTTCTGTGTTGTTTAGCTGTCAATTCTCAACAGAGAGTTCTCCTGTGACCCGCTTATTTTATTTCTTTATATTTATTACAAGCTTAATTCGATGTCTATTCGCTTATAATATGTTGTTAATCTAATGGTTGAATCTCTCTTTTAACCCTGCGGCATCTTCGTCAGTCTTCTACTTGAGGGGTTGACATTTCAATGACCCTTGGGTTATGTCATAATTTTCTTCTTTCTAAACGAGAGAACAAAAACATAACAGACAGGCAGGCAGCGATCCCTTACGATTTCCGACGGCTATTATTTCTTTGGTATTGTGTCTTCTTTTGACACGTTTAATACATGTATCGTTGGAATATCAAATAGTCTTTATTAGAAGGTTATTGTTTTATGCTCTATTCATGGATGGAGGGTCAGTCCCGGTGATTCACAAACGGATGCTAGGATACAAGTCTCTTTTGGGCTTCCTTTAGCCAGTACTTCTTTCTTTTTTTTTTTTTTTTTTTTTTTTTTATTTGCCTCCGTCTTCCCACTTTTTCTTTTTCTTTTTCTCATTGCTGTCAGCATTTTTATTCATCGAAGGAAATTTTTTTTTTTTTTATGATTTCAAATTTGTTTAGAGTCCGGGATTGTTGCTGCCTAAGGCTATTTCCGGCCAGCGCGTTAAAAACCATAAATTTGAACGCCTCCCGTAATGTGATGTTTTTCAACCTCGACTCGCAGCTCCTTTCACTATTGTAGTGATTGCGATTCTCAGTGGATATCTCACTTCTATGGATTTGTAAGAGAGAAACATAATTTAGTATATATATATATATATATATATATATATATATATATATATGAATTGGGATCAAATATAGATCAAATATGAATCGGAAACTGACAGAATGATAGAATAAGGAACAAATAGGAAACGTTTAAAATCTAATATGTTTCGCTATTATTAAAGCTTCATCAGAGAATGAAATATGGAAAAATCATTTTATGGTGTTTTTATCTTTGTGTTGCTTAATTTTCGTTAGTTAAGCAGACTTCACATGCATTTGATATGTCAAGCATTTGTGTGTATAATTTATGTGTGTGAGTATATTATAGTTCTGGTATGTCTATGTGGGATTTGGATGATAATGCATATGTGCGTGCGTGTGTGTGTGTGTGTGCATAGTATGAATAGGCATTATTATTACATTTGCATGTTGATTTGGGGACGTTAAAAAAAAACGACCACACCGGTTGTGGTAGTTAAATATACCTTGATCCTTTTTAAGAATGGATTTGTTAAAGGTGATGCAATATTGTGTTTTTGAAGTGTGTTTATAGTTGGTAAGTTTTTAATCAGGATTCCTTCAAAGCAATTTCGACCTGAAGACTTATATTCTTTTTTTAATTCGGGTGAAATTTATAAAATCAAAGTTATGGCCAGTTTTGTACCTATGTATCACAAGAGAGTTTAAAGTGTTGTCCCCATGTTCATAGATGCGGACTTTTAGATTTCGAGACGTCTCGCCAATATAATTGTATCTACACTTTCTTTTCTTTATCCTTTCATATATATATATATATATATATATATATACACATGTGCGTGTGTATCTTTAACTGGACATAATTTCTTATTACATAATTACAGTAATAAAAATAGGACACTATTACACTTTCGTACCCCCCGTTGCTTTCTGTCATTCAGCAATAAGTTGCTTCAGGTACGATAGTCTGGAAACAGTTCGGTTTGTTATTGTTAATTATAAAAATTAAAATATAAATCTCGAGAAACAAATTCAATGTTTGTAAAACCCTAACTCTAAGCAAGGGGGTGCGAAAATGAAATAGTGCCAAAAATACTGTCGGATTATCTCTTCGTCACTGAGGCCCGTTGGTACAGTTAGTATGAGGTTTACCTTATATCGTAACTTTCCGGGTTTCAATTCTCGGTAGTGGATGCGCACTGCTGTTGAGTCCCAATATAGGACGAAACGGCCGTCCAGTTCTTTCTGCATTCTGTTGAGGTTTCTTCTAGACTCGATGAATTACTTAATTATGATTATCTTAATTTCTATGATAGGTGTGATACAGCGAAACAGTCTGTATATGGAAAACAAAATATATATATATATATATATATATATATATATGTGTGTGTGTGTGTGTGTGTGTGTGTGTGTGTGTGTGTGTGTGTATAGTTGAATAATACATTTCTGATGCATCAATGTTAGTCTTCAATGATGCACTGTCTTCATTGCCAATTTCGGGTTTTGCATCATATTTGTTTGGATCAAATAGCAACCCCGACCTGATTCCAAAAGAGTCAGGCCGGCTCCTTGTTAGCGTCGTGCTACGCACCTCGACATTGCAAAAAAAAAAATGCAGATATAGCTTGGAGTGCGACCGTTCTTATTGACATACGTCAGTCAACGTCAGCCAATGAAATAAAAGTTTTACCCCCCCCTCCTGTATAGTGTTGTCCTTTTACTCCATCCGGTTTTGATTCGAGCTATTTCCCCGGAGTCCATAACGATGTAAGCTGGCCTTCTTGCATAGTTTAATCCGATGTTTCTATGTTTTAAATACCAACCCCATAATTAGATAACAAAACCTTACTTACTATTTATATTACTGTTTCTAAAAAAATCATTATTCTTACTATTACATTAATCTTTCAGCCTCACTTTATACTCTTATTAACGGAATATATATATATATATATATATATATTAATATATATTTGAGCAGCAATCTTTTTTTCTAAAAAACATGTCCCATTAAATATGACAGACATTTAATTATCTGTCTATATTTTTGAGATGAGGTGTTATGTACACTATTTACATTATTCGGACTGTTGTCCTCATCTTTGTTGCCATATTTATCACAACGTTTCGACTGTTGTACGCTCCGGCCTTCTTCAGGTGGTTGCAATGTCGAACTGAACCCTTTATTTCGCTCGCTGGGGTAGACTGTTCTAGTTCCGCGTGTCATGTCTAATGGATGTCAGTTATCAGTTATCTCTCCTGTTAATTTCCCTCTGAACGTTCTCCACTGCCTTAACCAGGTATTGAAATCAGTGGCGTAGCTAGAGTAAACGTCACCCGAGGCGGTCAGCTCTGATGTCGCCCCAATGACCCCGATTCACCCTATGCTGAATGGTTAGCTGTAGCTAAATTTTCATACATGCTCTACCTCTACTTTACTCTACTGACCGGTACGTTACTGTTTACATGTATGATCCAAGACAAAATCCAATACCACAAAATAATCAGTTCAAATCAAAAGATTTTTAAAATGCAACTGTTCACTTTCAGAACAACTAAATACAAAACACGACAATACACAAAAGAATGACATTCGATACTATGATCTTAGAATGAATATTTTCTTGTTTCCATTTTGGCAAACTGGTCAATGACATCGTCAAAATCTGTTTGTCTTGTAAGCTCATTTTCAATGGACAGCACAGCCAGATACGACAGTCTCGACTGGCT